AACACCCCGCTTTCACTGCCTACAGCTCCATGACCCTCATTTTCCTCTTATGTTATTCATTACAGCTGAGAGAGCTTTAATGTCATTGTACCTGCTCATCTAGCAGTAAAAACCTTAAATTTACAAAGAAATTGTGGCACTGCTACAGTGCAAAATCAGAAAGAAAATTCAAAACCATCTGGGTAGAGACAAGGTTTGACAGTATTTGTAGCTGCTAATCGAGATTCAGCCTGGATATGATAAGTACAGTCATGGGTTAAAATATTCTCATTAACTGCATTTAGGAGATGAGTATATCTGAGTCAAACTAATGTTCTTATCCCTTCACACTCACATGTCCAATTATATCAAATGTTTTGTATCTTTCCTGTCCAAATGGAGGCAGCATGTATCCAGAAACAATCCTTTTAGAGGTGTCATGGACTATTTCCTTTTTTTCCCCTCCCTTTTCTAGATTGGGAATTTGGCCATGCACATGTTTAACAGTTTGCAGTGTTCTTGTACAATATTCATACTCTTTAACCACAGCCAGAGAGAATAACCACAAAACATCATTAATGGCCCCATCATTAATGGCAAAGAAGGTTGTCTTCAGCTACCTTCTCAGAACACGGTCTTCAAGTGAACAAAAGAGCAGCATGGAGAAGTCAAGCTCACTCTGCCGTTTAGGTGTATAAGACACAAGACTAAGTCATGTGAAGTCTATTCTGACGACAGAAGCAGAATGACAAAGGAGGTGGGACTTTTCACAAATGGGAAGCAATATACTCTACTTTTGGCCTGGGTATGAACTCCAGGACGGACAGACTTAAAGCCAAATTCACCTGGACAAAGAGGGACAGTCCCAGCTTCCATTACTCTCCACCCAGCAGCAGCAGCACCAAATTTTCTAGCTTACTTCATCAAACCAGGTGGCACAGGTACTTCACTCACTGAGCAGGGGTCAGATGACACTGCTAACCCCGAAGTGTAACAAAGTTTCTTTTTTATAATCTACCTGTGCCAAGCAAAACCCCTCAGAAGATTACAAGATGCAAATGCAAAAGCTAAATCATCAAGTCACAAGGCTGTGAAGTTGCTAAGGCGCTTCAAATACCACCCTACTAAAGTGTGATCTTCAACTGAGATGTTCTACTTCTGTTCCCTGGAGTTTGTGCTGGTGCACACTGAGCTGGGGCTGGATTTCCATCTCATCTGTATTACTGGCCAGGCATATAACATACAACATTTTGTATGACATTTGTGCACGCAATCACACTTGCATACCTGCAGATCGTGCATAACAGGTTGGTCCCACTGGAAGGACACCACACCTAGTATGATGTGTTGCAGTTACACTTTTCAGTAAAGTATGGGACATCTTCATAAGTCCTTGACATTCCTGAGTCTGTGCAGAGCCACTGTGCACATGGGGCTCTGTGACCCTCAGACAAACTCAGAGGGTACTCTCACACCACCACGCTTCATCCACAGTCTGCTCTGTGCTGTGAACACGTATATTGCAAAATAAATTATATTAAAATAATGACGCTTCCAAGATGTTCCTTTTGGTTTGGTTTTTGGTTTTTCTTTTAAGTAATTTGTCATTTGGAGTATTTTTTTTTCCCTCAAATGCCTGTGGGAACCTGTATTGCTACTAACTTATCACTTAAATAAGGTTCTTTCTTTCAGGAAAACCTGAAAAAAGGAAATAGTGAACCTTTCAAAACCAGATGCCCATACAAACAGAAAAAACAGTAAATACATAAATACTGAATAGCCAATTTCCTCCTCAAGACCTTACAACAGGAGTTGCTGGACTGAGCCAGCAGAGGAGTGGACAAGTTATTTCACTGGCCAAATACCTATGAAAGAGGAATAACAGAGCATTATGCTACATGTGCTCAGAACAGACGGAAAGACTCTTGGGGAAACAGGAGAACAAAAGCACAGATAAGACAAAAAGTCTGGAAGGAAGCCAATGCAATACAGCAAGCAAAAAAAGGTGAAGAGCAGGGAAGAAAGGACAGTCCAAGTTCCCTGCCTTCACATAAAATGGCTGTATCTGATTTTTATCCTCCAACAGTGCCATCAGGTTGAAGAGTCTTATTAGCCTCTACAGGTTGCTTCTTTGAGCCTGTGACCTCTGCAGTTTTTTGCCTCTGGCCATGCAACTGTCCTCTTGCAGTCTTCTGGGGTTGAGTAAAGTTAGCATCAATAGTTCTTGATGCTAATACCCTACTGAAATGCAAATATTAGATCTACCTTTAGTACACTATTATTTCAGGATTTCTAAATATGGAGGTATCCCTACATTGATTACAAGTTTCATACCATAAAGCTCTTCAATGCAAACACAAATATAGAAACCTCAGCTTATGTAATCAGCAGAAACTCCAGAAATGAGTAATTAAAAGGTACCAAAACCAAAGCATACCCAAAAGAAGGATCATTTGGTCAGATTGACATCACCTACCATAACTTTACAACCCAAAGCAAACCAAAAATAACTATTAAAATAGGAATAAATTAAAAATCATTCATTGCCCATGAGGAGGCTTAATTGCAATACTGAAAGACTATTTTGAGTGCTACAAAGTATTGCTAGAATTACAACAAATACAATTTATAGAAATAGAATTTTCTTACAAAAATCCACATCATGTGCTATAACAATAACCAGCTCTACCCTCTCTATGGATTTCAATATTTTACTCCCCCATTACTTCAGGAAATGCTGAAAACAATTTTTTCTCCATTGTGTAGTAAAGCAACCTGACAGCAAACTCACTACACAGTGCTGTCTTTTGAAACCCTGAAGATTGATTTATATTCACCAGACTTAAAACAATCTTTCTAATGACGACCCATCAGATAGCCTCATAGTGGAGAGCTTTGACTGTCTTTGTGTGAGATCTCATTCTCATGTTGCAGCAGGTACTTAAAGAGCGAGAACCATTTTTTTCCAAAGGAATTTTGGTGTCCAACTCCCTTTGAAGCCTCCCTTCCTATGTATCTTTGAAAATCTGATCTTCAATTTGTTACCCATTTTCCCTTCCCACTTGATATGACAATGCCTTCTCTCCTTCCTTCTTGAACACTCAAATAAAAGGGTGGTAGCAAGTCCATACTACTAACATGAATGTAGTTGCTTGGAAAATCACAGCTCCCTCTCCCAGTCCTCATCTATTCTTTTCCATCTAGTTGCATAAAACATCAACATGACGGGCCACAGGCTTCTGTTTCTCACTCTATGCCAACAATCAGATTTGATTAACGTTCTTTAGATAAAAGTAAAGATCATCATAGGCAGAAACTGGATGCAATTGTCTGCTACAGAAAACAGTTTTTCTACTCCTTTCAAATTTATTGATTACTCACAACCTTTCCTCTCTAAAGTGTATCTACCAATCTGGGCACGGGTGTTGGAATAGCCACTAGCTGTCTGATAAAACTTAAGGGATGACAATTTTATGAGCTTCTGTTGTTATTGTTCCTTTAACTCCTTCTGCATCAGCCCACTACAGCAATTCACTGGCAAAGGAATACTAGAGATAAGGCATGGTAATGAACATTTTGATCCCTACTTCAATAATTTTTTAAAGAGATTTTCTTAGGCAAGTCATACAGGACCTTAATTTTCATGGTGTCCAGTGTCTGCCTATTTCTACAATAGAGGGTATTTTGTGGAAAAACACTTAAAGAGAACATGGAAACCTCAAATATTGTAGTATTTTTATCATTGGCACCACCTTGGCATACCAGGACTGATTTTTCTGAGTGCCTTTATCCAGACATTCTAGTGTTATGCCTTTGCATTGATCCTGGGGAATTTCTGACTGGTCAAGGTCTATAATTTCCTTGTTACTTCCCCATCAGTAAAGGCCAGGTTGCCTGATCCAGAGAAGAATTCTGCTCTATCAAAGTGAAATTAAGCACACAAAGAGTTATTATATATAAGCTGCATGTAGAGATTAAACTCAGACTCAATCACACAACTAAATCCCCATTCATTGCTTTGAAAATTTACAACTAAGTGTGAAGCTAAAAATATTAGCTAAAAACAGTGAGCTATCTTCCAACCACATCCTCTTGCCGAATAACATCAATAAGAGACAAGTCTGAAAATGTGCCTTAGAGGAATTAAAGAGCATTTGTTTGAAATGTGGCCATTTCACTTTGGGACAGGTATTTTTTTTCTTCTTCTCTTTACCTTTTCCCCCCTCCCCCTCATCTAATGAACATATCCTGCACTTCGGGGTATGGAAACCTGCCAAAGTCACACCCATAGTCAAATCAAATTTAACATATCTTTACAAGATATTTATAACATGCAAATAGCTAGAGGCCTTGCTTCTCGTTCACATGAAGATCCATTATGCCAAAAAAGGAGGGCTCTTTCATGTTAGTGAGAATGAGTGCATGGTAAAATAGAAGCTGATTTCACATATTATATTTAACATGTGAAGATTCAGCAACTCACATCTCCACTCCCTGTGCAACAAGCAAGCAAACCACACTGCCACACTTTAAGAAAGATGTTTGGTGAGCCCTTATGACTCCACTCTTAGAATCAGCCACTTATGTCTCAGCAGGATTCTGCTTCAAGAAGCCAAGAAAAAATAATTTTACTTCACTCTTCATTAAAAAAAAAAAAGGAAACTCTTGCTTCATTCACTCCACTTTTTCTTAAGTCTCTTTAGCAGGTCAAGGAGCCTAACAAAACATTTTCTCAAGATAAAACAGATTAGCAGTAAAAATTCCACCTTCAGATTCTTAGGCATCTGATTCTCTTATGAATTTTGTCTCTTGGCACACATCTAATTCAGAAATAAATTATTCTACTGTGTTTCTTTGACAAACTGCTCACTTAAGAGTAATCAGAGACAGGAATTTTCAAATTAGAAAGCTTAGACCAGAATCATCAAGCACAAGTTATCTGTTGGGACACTTTCTGAACAACATCGGAAAAACGCATGCTGAGCGCCCACGCCTGCTGCGCCCACTGCAGCCACCCAAACCTGTGGGGCTCTGTGAGCTAGGGCTGAGCAACCAGTCTGCAGTGCTGAGGAGGGTCATGTCACCTGAGGGAAAATGGCAAACAAAAGAAAACCATTTGGCTTCATCTCAGGAGGCAAACACGTATTGCAAGTTAGAGCTTTCTGGGTAGAAATCACCCCAAATTCTTTTAAACTTTAAAATTATAGTGTCAGATAAACAAGTTACCTTGTCAGGTTTATCTGAATTTCTTGAAATAAACTCTGATACCTACCTATAATTTGGAATACTATTTCTCAAATTATTTGCTACCTTAGGAGAACGCATTAATAGATAGATACAATATATAGCTCATTTCCTGACATAGTAATATTAAGCATTTTTCAGAGTGTATGTCAGCACACAGCAACTACATATTGAACAAAAAGTCAAGCCAGATGATGAGTGTCTTTCAGTGTTTCAAGGAACACTCCCAATTTTTGTGCTACTAAAGAACCTTCAAATTACATAGAAGTACTAAAGCTGGTGAAGTTTACAGCAAAGGCTTTTGTGAGGTAGAGGAATTTTAATTTGAAAGGGTCAAGCAATTTCATCCTGTACCAAAAGTGGTATATACCTGATAACATGATATAAAAATCTAGTAACATACTTGTGTATTTTAAAGGAAGAAGACTCATCTGTGGACATAAAATATTTTTCTGCTTAAACTACATGAACATAAGAAGCACTTTATTCTTTAAAAAAGTGTTTTGTTTTCTCAAATGGCTTAAAATTTTATTGTAATACTTTTACAACAATAACAAAAACTAAATTTTACACAGCTCTGGCACAAACACCTGTTAATCTGATAACCCATAAACCTTCCCCACTACCAAGGACTCCAATTAGAATGAATAACAGAGATGTTTGGGGAATTGAGGGGGGACGACATTTGTTTGATTGACATGTGCCTTTCCTGGGAGAATGCAAGGCATGTCCATAATCCGTAACAGTCTGACAGTACTAATATGACCTAGTTCTTAGGGGGGAATAAAAGGTATATCGTTGTTACAACAGTTGTTTACCTATACATTTATATTGAACAGCAATATTAAAGCTGTGTGACTCTCTTATCTAGTAGTGCATTAAGTCTCTGTTCACACAGCTAGCCAAATGTCATGTATGATCTTTCCCACTATTGCTGTGGAAATCTTACAGGAGAGAGTACTTTTTGGTGCTTGTTGTATAAACCCTTCTGTGTTTCATTATATGTATTATTATATGTATTCTAGATGTATTATATTACTGGAAAAGCTGTTAGGTTGTTCTGTTGTTAGTATTCTACTGAGAACAAACATAACTTATCAACTGCCTGACTGCTTCTTGAAAAATAGGTATCAGTTTACCCCATTAAATTACTACACCTGTTTGAATTTTGGCCACTCCATCAGAGCAGCAAGCTAGCCTGAGGAACTTTCAACACACAGTTTTATTAGCCTACTTGACAAAACTTTCATAGCCTCAGAGCTTGGAAAAAGTGAGAATATAAAGAAATACCAAAATAGTGAAAAAGGCTAAAAAATTGCATTTTGTATTATGGCAATTGTAAACACCTACTTTTCCCTCTCATCATTAAACTTCCCTTTCAGGTTTTTTGCCTTTTTTTACTTTAAGCTCTGCACATAGTACCTGCTCAGTCCATTTAAACTCCATGACAGAAACACAAACCTGGAACAAAAGCTATTGCTGAAACTTGATAATAGTAACTACTGATAAACATTGAACACTGACTTTATGCATCATATCAATAAACACGGAACATCTAAAATAGTAAAACATTATATAGCTTGCTGACTGCAACAACATCGATGCAACAAGGAGAAAAAACAAATTATGAAACACTAAAAAAAGGCTCACCTTCTGTGCCATTGGGTGTCATGGAATTATTATTTATATGGGAGTTATCAAGTTTTGGACCACTGGGGGATTCACTACTACCACTTAGTCGTCTGTGTGGGCTGGCTAGATCCTGCATTTCCATAGACCTGAAAACAAGATGCAACTAGTTTTAGTGACATATTTAACATGAACTACATAGGAACTGCCTTTACAAGATGCAGCCCACTGTTAATCAACATCCCAAAAACACTCAGTGAAAAATTCACAGCTTCTCCCAACTTGACCTATTCTAGTGCCTAATTTATGTTTTAGCCCCACACACAACTGACCAGCTACTGTAATTATTTTTACAGCTTGTAACAGAATAATTCCAAGTACTGTACTTAAAACATTCATGTAACCTTTTATTTCTAAGACACCTACAAAGATAGAATTCCAATATATGAAGACATATATTCCCTTAACAACAAATTAACACTCTGCTTTTTCAAGATTTACCACTCAGTGGCAATATAATGGGCCTCCAAACCAAATAAAACACTTGAAGCAATTGTGGAAACCTATCATCTACTGACAGGGAATGAGATATTCCTGATGTATGTGTTTACTCTGGCAAACTACTTAATTGTTCCTCTGTTTCCGTTGAAACAAATGCAGCATTAAAACATTATTATGTCTGCTCACTTGTTTGCTTTGTGGATTACACAGAGCGTGCCCAACTGAAAAGGGATATGACCAACATACAGTGAATCCATATAGGCGTTAGTGTGCCTTAGCACTCTGCTGTATCTCAGCAGCTGTCGCTTAAGCAAAATAAGAGAACAATTCCGATTCAAAGCAAAAATTAAAAGTTTAACCTGCACAGAAGCAGCTGAATATTTCAGACTGGTGATTTCAATAGCTTTATATATACAGGCCAACAGCCATCACCACCGTGACGTATCCTTTGGTTGATGTTGGGGCTTATGACTGAAGTGCCCCATCCTTCCACTTTATACCTAAAACTTTTGATAATGTTATTTAATGTACTCATTCTAAGTAATTGTTCCCAGTAGAAACTTCATAGGCGACTCTGCCTCCAAGGCATTTGAACTAGTAATTTTTCAGTTTAAAAGAAATGCTTCGGCTCTTTTAAAGACTACTAAAATTATATAAAAACTTCCTCCTGCAGTAATGGTATGAAGATCCTTAAGCCCAAGTGTCATTTCAGCTATGAAGTTTTCACATTTTAACTGACATTTTATCACAAGTTCTAAACAAATATCATTCATTTTAAATTTCTTTACCTTGTCTGATTTACACATAAAAAAGGATGGTATCTCAATGAGTTCAAAAAGACAGTATCTAATATAAAGTCAAACAATTTACTGAAAAAGTATATGTGCTCATGGTTTGCAGACTTGGTTGCATGCTCATAAAAGCGATACTCCAGCACCTACTCATCCACTTAACGTGGAAAACAAGAATAAATATTTTACTTATCACTTGAAGTTAAAAAAAAAATACAATAAAAGGCTTGCAGAAAAATGGCAATTTTCAGTCAAATCCTTACCTGCAGCTTGAAGAAACAGCAACATCTGAACTAGTTTGGGACTTCTGCACCTGTAAACCAGGGAAACAAACAGAAGCTTCTATTACTCCGCTTTACTATGAGGCCTTAATTTAAAGAAAGGATATCACCACAGATGACAATTCTGTTCTTTAAATCCAAACGGAGAGAGGTGGGTGCGGTGCCGGTGAAAGGCATATTGTCTTTAAATTGAAGGCTCGACTGTTGTTTCCCCGGCAGGTCTCTCTCCCTCCTCCCTGCGCTGGGGGACGGCAGCCAAGTGACGGGATAGTGATTCATCAGGGGCCCGTGACAGCTGCAGAGGGGCTCACTCCTCCCACGGCACAGCACGGCACGGCTCCGCCACGCACCCCCGCAAAGGTAACCCTGCCGCGCCGGCCAAGGGCAGCGAGAGCTGCTCCAGCCCCAAGCCCCTCAGCATCCTCCACCCCTCTTGCCTCTTCTCATCCCTCCCTTCCCCTTAACTCTTCGCAACTTCTTGCCCCTCATTGTGTTAGTTTTCCTCCGCTCTTTGCCATCCTTCCCCCGTGCCTGGGCCACGGGGAACCCGCAAGCCACGTTCACTCCAGAGGCAAGGTGGAGAGGCTGACACTAATGTTTTTTTGGGGAAGGGTGGGAACGACAACAATGGGCAGGTCTACCTGTGGTAAAGATCTTCAATACATGGCCAACAGTATTACACAACCATCTTTAAAACAACCCATCTCCAGCCAGTGTGAATTAAAATCAAAACCCCACACATTACTGCACAAAGCCCTACACATAAAAATTCCAGTTGCTAATGAGATTTCTGATAAAATGACTTAAAAACCACTTCTGGCTAAATAAATAGGAGGAAGCTGTAGTATTTACCTCTGAGGTCACTCATCAGGAAAAGGAATCTGGTTCCACTGGGAAGCCCAGCAATAATTTTTCAGTTTAATAAAATTACTCCTTTTATAACTCAGGTGAGTAATAGTTTTCATATCCTACCAGAAGAACACTGTTGCTTTGCTAACACACTCTAGCCACTAATGATTGTCAGCAGGTGATAAAATTCAGGTGAACACTGTTAGCATAAAAGCACACAAAAGCTTCTCTGGGCAAGGTATATATCCTCTTAATGTCTGCAGTGAGGATCCTTCATGCGCGTTTCCATTCAACCTGAACTGACATCTCTTAAATGATCACAGAGCAAAGACAAGGGAGATGAGGCATTTTAAGTGCCATAAAAATCATCCAAGCAAATCCCACTTATGTGTCTGTGGGGTGGGGTTTTTGTTATTTTTAATCACAGACAGAATTATTACTAGAAAGAGTAAACAACTGCTAGGGGCAGCCAGGCAATGAAGAACATTACAAACGATGTCAAAAAGCATGCAATAATACATGCTGAAAAACATCAATCTTTTTATAACTGGGTACTTAAAGTACTGCATAACACGCTTCTCAATACGTTGTTGCATGCCAAATCAAACCAGACTAGCAGATACAGCCAAAACTGTGCATTTTGTTTCAAAGATTTTTTTTTTCCTCAGTTCTTTACCCCAGAAACTGCTGCAGAGTGCCTTAGGATATGTTTCTGCTGTTACTTCTAAACACCTGGAAAAAATTATAGGTGAGAACTAAGTTTGCTTACAGAGCTATCTTCATTCTCTCTTACACAAGATCCTTTAAAACATATCTTTTATAATAGGAAAAACTTCCATTTTCAAATGGATGCTTTAATTGAATGATATTTTCCAATGTGCCCTACAGAATAATTAATATTTTATTAAATTCTAAAATACATGTAATCTTATTTTAATTACCAATTTTTTAAAGAATAATAACTTCAGTGCATTTGTAAATATACATATCATGTATATAAATATACATGTCATGTGTGCACATAGTGAGAGAAATTTCATTTATGGATGCATGGGAGAAGGCAAAAAAAATAACCAGCTCATTGGAAATGAATTAAATATATAACTTAAATGTCCTCTGACACTTTATGATTTGTGAAAGTTCATATCCACAATCTTCATTTTCATTAGACATACTTTAGATATATTCCTTTGTGTCTCAAGGATTATTTAAACCATGTGTTGCAAGTTACCAAATTTAAAAATGACTCTTTAATCAAAATAACTTTAAAACAACTAATCCTCACTTAGGCTGGTCAGCTGAATCCACAGAGTGGTCCAGGAAAAATAAATCTACTCTCAAGAATGCGAATGCAGACAACAATTAGACACAGATGTGAGTGAAATTAGTTACAGTTTACAAAATGCTACACTTCACATGCTTTCAGTTTTTTATGTGTAGTACAAAATTACAACGTAGTAAGGAACCACACTTATGATGACCAGTTAGTTCATAGAATAAAAACATTTCTGGGTGGTGTGTACTTGCTCTCATACATTCTCCCATTTTGTCAACAGACTTCTAGATAATTGAAGTTCTGCAACATAACTCACATATCAAACAAAAAGGGGGGAAAAACCCCAAATGCAATGACCTTACCTGTCCAGAAATGGGGCACAATTAAAAAAAAAAAAAAGAAAAAAAAAGGGAGCTGTGACATTCCCTTCATACACAGTGCTCTGCTAAAACTAAAAATGCTGTATATGCTAAGTGACACATACATATTCTCCTTAATACCTCAAAAACCGTACTGTGTATAATTTGATTGTTGTAAGTAACGTTCACATCTTTTTCCTTAATAAAAAGTGCAGATCTGGGCACTATATAGTACATGGTGAGAAAAAAAGGACAATGATAGCAAAGCTACTTCAAATTCATCCAGTTAAGAGTCTTAAATCAGTAACATCAAATTCTGATTAGTTAATGAGGTCTTTTAAGTTTGCCTTTTTTCTAATTAAATTTATAATTCTTCACAGATGTAGGTTTTGTTGATGTTCAATTTGTCTCTCTCATTTTGTTAAACCTCACATAGTACTCCACCAATCCATTGAATAGCCACATTAAATCTGTTAATACCATGCTCTTCAACCCCAGAAATTATTTCCAGAAGGCAAACTTGCTTTGAGAGATCATCAAACAAGACTTAAGGTACACATTTTATCACATTTTCCCTACCACAGAGCTCAGGATGCAGAGGAAAATTCATGACTTTTGCACTGTTTATTATACTTTGCTAAATTACAAATCAAAAGCATCTGACAGAAGATCATGTATGAAGCCAAAAAGTTAATAATGTTCTGTGAAAAGTAAACTGTAAATGGGAAGGGATTCTAAATTTCAGCAGCACAGAGCAAATAAAATATAGGTACTTGTCTAAATTACAGGTTTTCCACAGTATTTTTGCTTGCTAGGAGCAATTTTTTCTAATGGCTATAATTTAAAACGTTTTTCCAGCTAAGAAGAAATTTTCAAAGTGAAAATAAGAATTTAACTGAGAAAACTATAGCCAGCACATGCGCTTTATCTTAAAACACGGTTCTACTTTAAAGAAGCAAATTTCAAAGACAATGGCAGTTTTCAAATCAGACTGTTCCTTCTTAGGAAAAAAAAATTCTGTCATTTTTAGGAAAGGGTGGAGGGAGAGGCAGAAGTGGACTTTTCCCCAACAGCACTCTTTGCCTCCTTAAAAGTGCTATGCAGCCAGTATCTGCAGTCATAATGGCTTCAGCAGCCAAAATGTTACAAAACTAAAATGCAAATTGGCTGCAGAAAGGCACCTTGCTGGCAACCCAGGAAACTTGGTAATACTTTCACTCTTCCTATAATCGTATTGCTGGGCTATAAGGGAAGAAGTAGGGCTTTTTCACTAGATGTTCACGTCAAAGACAAATTGCACTTATTAAAGCAAAAGCAGGTAATTGCAGTTATTTCATTTTTAATTACTAGTTTAAATTCTAAAAGTGCTATCCTGCATCTTCACTTCATGCAACTATGAATGAAAGGTTTTGAAACCCCAACACTTTATTCCCTTTAAGAAAGAAGCACTACAATGTGACAATGCTCCTATTATGACCAGCCATTTAAGAATGTCTTTCTGCGTTTCCAAGATTTTTTTTGGCTCCTGAGAAATATTTCATACTTATTGCAATTCAAACAAAATGATTACTCATTCTTTTTTTCTCCTCTCTCCAAAGGGGAAGCGTGACTCAAGCCGTCTGTCACTGAGCAGAACTGCTGAGAGGGGATGGCTGCTCATTTCCAGACCCTTCCAGGCCTTGGGAAAACTCTGACAGCAGTGAGGTGCTTGGCTAAAAACTGCATGTCATGGGTTTGTGAGCAACATATAAAATGCTGTGTGCATACATGTTTATAAATTATATAACATATATACACACATATATATGTATGTATACAGATCCATATGTATAATCTATACTTTTAATTTTTTTTACACACCAAACCAGCAGTCTGTGTTTTGGCAGATGTTTTGTGAACTGTCTTAGTATGGGATGGAAAATAAAAGAATCTTTATACGTGGTATCTAACGTTAGAAACTTCCAATGATACACTACACCACATTTCCACTTATTCCAAATTTTCCTCGGTGCTCATTTTTAAATTTAAACAAACTACATGAAAAATACTATCCTCTTTTTTTTTTTTTCCTCCTGAAACCTCTTCTCTCTTCTGCTTGCTTCAGTTTTAAATGTTTGCTTACAAAAGAAAGGAAAAGAACCCACCAGAACCCAACCACCTTCAAATAAATGTTTTTAAATGCACTAACAGCATTAATTTTCCAGAATAAATCTTTCACTGTAAAGGGCAGTTCTTCCTCTTGATGTTTGAAACACCGAGAGAAATACATACTTGGGAATGTTTGGTGGGTCTCGGTTGCTCAAAAGCAAGATGTAAATTTAATGAGACTTCAAAAGGTCTTTAACTTCCTCGTTCTAAGATCACCGTTCTAAATAAGCCACCTAAAATGTCAATAAACGTCAAATATTTCAGTTGTGCAGATGTTTATTCTGTCATCTTGAAGAGTTCTCCTGTGGGGATCTATGTGTTTTCCTTGGTGTTCGGAAAATTTAAACATATTAAGCAAAAGGATTTCCTGCTTCAGAAAGCACTGTCAAAATCTCTGTCAGGCATTCTTCCTCCCAATTTTTTTATTATTTTTCTCACGCTCTCATGTCTCTTTCAGCAAGGTCTGCCGGTTTCCTACAGTACATGTCTCTTACCCCCCCGTTTAACATCTCACCACCACGTTGCTCCTATCTACCGAACCATTAGCGCTCGAGGAAATCAAACAGGAGAATCCCCAAACCTGGCTGATCACAATAAACAGAACCGCCTAACATCTGTTTTGTGGGAAGCCTACAAACCCCAGCCTGAATCACGGCCAAAATTAGCTGCAGCACCTAGTGATTTATAATTGAGCGCCGCTCTCCTCCGGGACGGCAGAAAGCGCCCCTGTCCCTCCGCGCACCGCGGCCCCGCCGCGTCGGGACCCGGGGCCGCTCGGCAGCCGGGCTGCTGCGGTCGCCCTCTTTCCCTGGTCCTGTCCTCCCGCTGCCCGCGCTGCCGCCACCGCCGCTGTCAGCCCGCCTGGTACTTTCACGGTGCGGGGCGGCAGCTCCGGCGGGCCCGCGCGCGGCGGCGGCGTCCTCCCACGGCGCGGCGGGGCGGGCCGCGCCCGGGCGCGGGTCGGACCGGGGCCGGAGCGGGTCTGCGGCGCAGACAAAGCACAGCGGAGGGAGGCTGACTCCAGCCCCGCCGTCTGTTTGCTCAGCCTTGTGGGTCTGCCCAGGCAGTGCCTGGGGGCACGCTGCCGCTCCCGCTCGCCTCCTCACTCCCCTTCTCCTTTTTTTTTTTCCCCCTCCCTCCTTTTGGGTTTTGTTTTTGTTTTTGTAATGCAAACCGCAGCTATTCTCTTGTCCCGGACTTATTGGTTTAAAAGCAACAGCCGCGCTGAGGCTTGCGCGGTTTGAAGTGAACCTTCCTGCCGGGGCTGCCGCTGCGCGTCCCTGGGCCCCCGCCGCCAGAGCCCCGTGTTTTGCACCTTCTTCAGCCTCACCCCAGAACAACTCCTGAATCCCCCAGGCCCCTCCTCATCTGGAAAGTTTAATTGTGTGTAGATGCGTCCCCTCTAGTAAGCCGGGTTTAAACTAAAGCCGTCCTAATAGAATAACTGGAATTACACCAACATTATATCAATGAGAGAAGCTAAATAGGGATACTCACAGAGGTTCTTAAGCATACAGCCAGCATACACGTCCGGACATGCCGTTTTGATTGGATATGTAACAGATTTGTTCTCAAATATCTGAGATTCTTGCAACCTTGTAAAGAAAGGGTCTGCTAAAACTATTTAAGCCAGCCTTCTCCAATTTAAAGGTATTTATTAAATAAAGTATCTAGAACTTTTAAAGTGGTTTAAACCATTTAAACCATTAACTATCTGTACCCCTAAAACCAATTGTAAATATATGCAAATTTGTATTTCAATTATTACTACTCACTTACTAAAGTTTTAAAATTTAGCAAAATTTTAAGAAACTGCATAAAGGCCCTTTCCATAGACCTTACAAATATTCCCAAAGAAGCGAGAGATGGTTGCATAGGGTTAATTTTGTACATTAAGTAACAGTAACTCTTTAAAGCTTAGCTTTTACCAATCGATAAGTAATTAAGTAATTTAATTAGCAAGCCATTAAACTGAAATGGGTTTATGATACATTTCTGTTACAGAACTTTGGTTGCTCATAATTCAAAAAAGCTTTTTTAAAAATATATACAGAATGTTAAAAAACATTAAAACATACACAATAACTAAATTTGATCAGTGCTCTCCACAGCATTTCCACTTTGCAGATAGTATCTTTCACTTCACATAACAGTTATTTTTCTATACTCTTTCAGTACCCATAATGTGAACATGATGAGGAAAACAGTGTAACTATTTGCAGTACCAAAAAAAAAAGTCTTAATTCCATGCCAGGTCTACAGCACTAAATAAATTAAAAAACAAAGTAAAACAAAAGAAAACCCAACTTTATACTGTATAAATAGATTGAAACAGAACTTTTTTTTTTCTTTATAAAAATCTGTGGTTATTCACTGCTAATAGATCCTTACCTTCAAGTAATTAATCTGTGAATGAAAGCAATACTTCTAGTGAAGAAATGTCTTCTGGCTACTACATCCCAGTAAGCAAGACATTATTTTGTAGCAAGTACATTGGGAATACTTCAGGAAAGCAGATCAGTTTGCAAAGCTACAAGTCAACCTCGAGCTGAAAAGGCACCTAGGATTTCATTTTGTTTAGCGGAGAAAAGGGATCTCGGGACAGTCACACACCATATATGGGAACCCAGGTCAAAATAAGCAGCTTTCGATTGGGCCTGTCTGCGTAGCCAGCACAAACACAATCCCATCACTTCTTTATAGTCACAAACCAGATCTCATGCCAAGAAAACTATTTATCATGTTCTATATTAAACTGTGAAAGAAATACAAATTACATATTATGGAGACACACAGTTTTGTCAGGTAAAAGTTACTGAAATCCTGAAATACAAGGCTATGCAATCATTCTGAACTATATGATTCTTTGGAACAGCCACGATCCTCTGGATTTTTTACCAGTGTTAATAAGATCATTTTTTTAAAAACCTACCCAATCCTATATGGAGTTAAAGGCATACTCTTGCTTCACTGACTCTAGGAGTTACATATATTACATGAAAAAGATCAGGTATACACTTTAAGCAGAAGTTAATTTTTTTCTGGAAGAAAAACTCAAAGAATATCACGTTGTTGTGTGGTACCATCTGACACTGGAAAAGGTAACTCAAAACCCTTTTGCAAAAATAGTGGTTCTTAAATGATGCTATAGAAATAAAAAAAAAGATTTAAAAACAGACTGTGACTTCCAGGGATGCATGTAATGTTTTGCATAAATCTATTTCATTCCATTATTGAAAACAAACCCAAATAGCACAAATGTAGGAATAAATTTTACTGTTTTTAATGTAAAGCTTACTGAAACAGGTTTACTGTTGGTTAGAGTTTGTAATCCCTACTGGGAGTTTTATCTAAGTAATAACTTCAGGAGTGTGCCCAGTCTCTGTATTTAATTAAAGTAAGATGGATCCCCACACACACATACAGAGCTTGATGATGTGATGATAAACATGGGATAAATTACACACAGGCTAAGATGATCAGAAAAAGGGTGTTGATGATGCATTGCAAGAAAAGAATTAGCTTTGAATTGTTAATCTCTTCTGTAGTATGGCATGTAGGCAGTATGGGAACTGAAGCCATATAAATTATCTAGATGGGGGATATGAGATAAAATAGGGTCCTCTTTGTTTATACAGCCATTAAACAGTGCCTTAAAGTTCTTTATCTGATGTCTGAAGATTGGACTTCAGATTAGTTATATCATTACCCCATGATATGGTCTAACCTATGAACTTATACTACAGCTGATACCGTGGACTAGATCCTTCTTTGGTTTAAGTGAGTGCAGGGTTTTTTTATTTCAATAGGTAATCTAATTATGACAGCTGAGCACTGCACCGATTTGAAACCTACTTGAAAGAGGTTTATTTGCTTAGCTTTTTGATTTTTTTCTTCCAACTAACTGCATACCAAGTTAGTACAGGCTAGGCTGTTGATCACTGGCACCCAACATCAATTTCAAACCACAATTGCACTAACACTGGGTTTGGACAGAGATTTCAGTGGGATTTGTATATGTTTACATCATGCCTGAATTTGCCCTGATTCTGCATTCCAGTTAATGCAGCTGGCATTTCAAGAGTCCTAAGAACTAAAGGACCAGGACTATTACATAATATCAAATGCTACAACAAGCTATGGGGTATATTTTTACAACTATTACTCATGCAATATGGTTTTAACTCCATATGCAGTGTCACATACTTGTTTTAGCACAAGTAAAACGGGTCCATCTGGAACAAGTATTTACAGGGTGCTTAGGTACTACAATTACAGATGTGCTGGTAATTAAGAAAAATTAGATGTAAGATGTATTATGGAACAGTGGGATGTTTACATGTTTGACTCCAAGTAGGAAATACTGCTGAAATATTTAACAATAGAAATAGGCCCAGGAAGACCACACTTCGCTAAAGCAAAAGATGCATCCCGTTGCTCCTGAAAGCTGCTGCCTGGCTTTTTCCATAACAACTGCAGTGCAACATCAGAACCCTCTGAAGCAGGCAATATCCCTCCTATGCCTCCATACAAGTTTTATCTTACACATAGCAGCTGTTGCCTAGAGACGTCCCTGGCTGGATCAGAAGTTTGCAGCATTTGACAGGAGCCCTTATTGTCTCATGCTACTCATGAG